CTACATATCTAGATCAGTTTTTTTGTGTTGTTTTTGTTTTTTGTGCAAAAAAAAAAAAAATTGTGTTCATCAAAACCTAAATGTTACTTCATGATTTTGGACACTTAGGACTTTTTTGGAGGCATTATTATTTTTTATTTATTTATTTTATTTTTTGAGATGGAGTCTTGCTCTTGTTGCCCAGGCCGGAGTGTAATGGCGCGATCTCGGCTCACCACAACCTCTGCCTGTTGGTTCAAGCGATTCTCCAGTCTCAGCCTCCCAAGTAGCTGGGATTACAGGCATGCACCACCACACCGGCTAATTTTGTATTTTTAGTAGAGACGGGGTTTCTCCATGTTGGCGAGGCTGGTCTCGAACTCCCAACCTCAGGTGATCTGCCCGCCTTGGCCTCCCAAAGTGCTGGGATTAACAGGCGTCAGCCACTGTGCCTGGCCTTCGAGGCATTATTTTATAACATTTTGATATTGCTAAGTTGTAATACTACTACTACCTGTTTAAGTTTAAAAGGATATTGACATACTATCTCCTTATAAAGTCATTTTCTGTGATGTCTTGTGGGTTTAAGAACAATGTATAAACAAAATGCTAATTTTTTTTTTTTTTTTGAGATAGTCTGGCTCTGTCGCCCAGGTTGGAGTGCAGTGCCACGACCTTGGCTCACTGCAACCTCCGCCTCCCAGTTTCGAGCGAGTCTCCTGCCTCAACCTCCCGAGTAGCTGGGATTATAGGTGTGCGTCACCAAGCCCAGCTAATTTTTGTGTTTTTTAGTAGAGGCAGAGTTTTCGCCGTGTTGGCCTGGCTGGTCTCGAACTCCTGACCTCATGATCCGCCCACCTTGGCCTCCCAAAGTGCTGAGATTACGGGTGTGAGCCACCATGTCCAGCCCAAAATACTAATTTTTTTGTGTTCTTCATAATACTCTGAATTATAATAAGCTTAGAAGACCATTCTGAGTGGGGTGGAAATTGCCCTATCCCTCTTCAATGATAGAATTCACACTTTAATGTTAGTATTGAAATATTAAAGTTTATTTTTTATAAAATGTGCTTGATGAGTAAAACCTATCAGTGGAGTGGTTTTGGTTTTGCACATTTGGCATTCTGATTGTTAATGTGAATTTAGCTTAACATAAGTACATGTGCTTTCCCTGAAGATCCTCATGTGTTCTATGTTTGCTGTCTCCCTCCACATACTGCCAGCTTTCCCCATTAAATCGTAACCTTGTGAGGACAGAATCTTTGCCTTGTTCTGTGTTGTATTCGCAGTACTGACAGCTGTGGCTAGTATATTGGCACCAAGTACTAGGTAACTGAATGGCTAAGAGCAGTTCTCTGCCTTTGGTTCTTCCCAGTATGCTGAAGGACCTCTCCTCTCTAACAGTAGCTCATTCCCTCAGTGATTTCTGACTAGAGCAGAGGGGCGTGCTTTATGTCCACCACCCCACCCCTTATCCCAGGAGTCACTGTCTTGGTTTATGACTTTATTTTAGAAAGGGAGATTTTTGGTATATGGAGAATCAACAGTTTGACCGTAATGTTATTTTCATGAGATCACTGATGGTTTTGGTATTCAATTCCTTAGGGCTCTGGTATCAGTTCCTCTTCAGTATTGCATGGCATGGTTTTTAAGAAGGAAACCGAAGGTGATGTAACATCTGTCAAAGATGCAAAAATAGCAGTGTACTCTTGTCCTTTTGATGGCACGATAACAGAAACTAAGGTATGTAGACTTCAAACCTTAAAAGTAATAATTGGGGTTGCACTTTCATATTGTTTAAGTTAGCTCTTAAACCAGTAAGTACTTCTTAAAAAACTGAACATTGCAGGATCTTACCTATTTTTTTATACCAGATTTATGTTCTTTGAATATTTAATTCAACTACTGAACATTAAACTTGAAATATAAAGATGGTGGCCATATTATTTATAATCTGACACACAGCCCTTCTAGTACAGCTTATAAATTCAGCAAGTGAAAGAATATGAGAATGCGAGTACTTTGTGTGCTCTTCACAAAAATAAAGTTGACATTCTGTAGCATCCTGAAACAAGATAAGCTAATGTAATTTGAAAATGGTAGGTATGTTTCTAAAAATACATGTTAGAAAGTTTGAAGTTTGTGTTTACAGTCAATAGTGACTGACTTCATCTCTAGAATTCTTGAAATCCAAGTTGTTGACAGTTTTAAAATTTTGTAGCAT